AAAAAAAAAAAAAAAAAACAAAAAACATGGGAGAAGGGATCCAGGCGTACATTCTGGGGCATCATTACGACGACAAGGAGTAAATCAAATTTGCGTCGCTTTCGGCCCGGAGGGTTTGTCTGTTGACAGTTGCTGGTTATGCAGTGGATTTCCTGTCGCTCGTCTGCAACGGAAATGAAATGACCCAGTTAAATGATTTATAGCACACACACACGCACACACACACGCACACACTAAAATACATATGCCAAGGCATGCGGCTGACACGCGGTCAGAAAAGGTGCCTCATGTGGCAAGGGGGCTCACGACCCGGCTGAAACTGCCGCTGCAACCCCTCCGCGCACAGCCAGGCCAAATTATGGCTGGCTGTTAAGCGTGTTGAAATTATAATTTCATTAGCTGCAATCAACATAAAAATAACACTTAAGCCAAAGTGCCAAAGCGCTTTCAAGTCGTAAAGCTCGAGCGCAAATTAAAAAGAAACAGGGACGAAAACAACAACAAAAGGAGAAAAGGTATGAGCAAACGAGAAAGTGAGAATGTGTAGCCAGCGAGTAATCAAAGACGGAATACCCTTACTTTAAAAAAGGAATCATAGAAGATGTGAAAGTAGCAAAAAAAGGGGAAGAAAAAGGAAAGGAATAAAAAGTAGAGAGCGAGAATAAAATAAGGAAGCTTGAAGAGAGAAGGTAGAGAAAAGTGAAGAGCAAATATAGAAGAGATAAGGGAATATAGGGAAGAGAGAAGCAAAGTGTAGAGAAGAGTGAAAGGAGAAGGTTTAAAAGGAAAAAGAGAATGAAATTATAGAGAAGAGTGAAAGGAGAAGGTAAAAACACGAGTAGAGAGAAGAAAGGAGTGAGCAAAGAAAAGTGAGAAAAAAGAAGACAGAAGACAAAAAAAATAGAAGAGATAATCTACAGGGGCGATGAAAGTAGAGAGAAGAAAGAAAAGAGAAGAGGACAAGGAGGGTAGAGGGAGACAATAGAGGTAGAGAAAGATGAGAGAATTAAAGAGAAGCGATAAGACATAGTATACGAGAGATAAGAGAACAAAGAAGACAGCAATAAGACAACAGAAATGTATAGAGGAAAGGAAAAGCAGAATATGAAGAGACAAAGAGACAGAAAGATAAGCTAAGATCTCCTATAGACACATATGTTATACATGTTATTTTTTTTTTATATAGCTCGATTTATATACATATTTATTTAAATATATATCACGCTTACCGCTCAGTGTTACATCTTTCACTAAGTATTCAAAATACCCTTTGCCCTGGCATTCATAGAGCAAACAAATGCAAAATCAAGTGCAGACACAAAGCGAATGCTCAGCAAATTATAAAGAAGTTTGCCTTTTTTACCTCTGTTCTTTTTTTCACTTCGCATTTTGCATTCAAGCAGCAGCAGCCCACAACAACAATAACAACAACAACAACAACACGTACAACAATGACAATTGCAATAACAAACGTAATTACAATTATTTTCTTTTTTTCTGCTTGTTGCTTGTTTCATTACAGATTTTAAGCACGCGATGATGCCAGGGGAACAATCAACGTTGTAATGCGACAACAGACAACTGCAACAACAACAACACCAACAAAAGCTAAGGCAACGATGCGCGATTTTTAATTGACATTTGTTGAAGTTGAGCAGCGTTTTGTGCAGCAATTAGCCAAAAAAAAAAAAAAAAAGACCGAGGTGAAACAGGTGAAACGGGAAAGTGTAAAAGGGCGTACGAAAGGGGAGAGAGAGCAAAGCGAAACAATTGAAAAAGCTGATGACCAAGCGGATATTTAATTAAAAATTCAGCATATTTAGCAGTCAGCGCTGAAAAGTAGGCAACCATTTTTCCTTTTTCTTTGGGGCTCTCCCGCTTTCGCTCTGAAACAATGGCCGTGGCGCCGCACCGGAAGTCCATGCGTACGGCAAAGCTGTCAAACCGTTGACAGTTGTCACATGGTCCAGCACGTGACGAACAAGCCAAAGGACGACAGAGAAAGCCGAGAAATAGGCGCCCTGCTGTACGTGAGTGCATGAATGTATAAATAAATGGCAGGCAAATGAATGAAACGTCCAAAACGTTGCCCATATTCGACAAATTTTAGACGCGGCGCTAAACGTTCGCACGTACAGCGCATAAATTTCAAGTGAAATTAAAGGCCGGTCCTAACAGAGGGAGAGAGGGGGAGAAAACTGGAAAACGAGCATAAAAAGAGAAGGAAAACTAGCGCCAAATAAAGGAGGCGGCCTTCTAAGCAACAGCCACGCCCACACTCACAGCCCACCCGGAAAGATGCTGCTCGGGCTGTGGCTCTGCTTGGCCCTGCTGCTGTGCAGCGCCCAGGCATTATCCTTGACGAATGCTGCCGCCGAGCAGGAGGAGCGCAAGCTGTCGCTGGCGCAGCATCTCAGCTTTCAAGGCGTGCGCCGCATGCTGCGCGATGAGCACGCCCCGGCCCACTATAAGGCCGAGCTGCGCTACCAGCACAAGCGCGAGACGCAGCCGCGCGAGAAACGCGAAACGTCAGGCGCTGCGCTGCTGAATCTGACGCGCCAAGGGCTCAGCGTCTACGATAGCCAGCAGAACTTTCAGGGCCAGTTCGAGCTGGTGCATCGCCTCGATCTCAGTCACAATCGGCTGAGCAGCCTGCAGCTGCAGAACTTCACACGGCTGCAGCAGCTGCACGCCTGCAACAATTCGCTGACGGCGCTGCCCGCTCTCAGCGCGTCGCTGGTCACACTGGATCTCTCGGGCAACAGGCTGAGCCGGCTCTCGGGCAGCTTCTTCGAGCAGCGCATGCCGCAGCTGAAGCAACTGAATCTGGCGCACAATCAGCTCGACGGCGCCATCGATCGCCAGGCATTCTACAATCTAGTGGGTCTGGAAACGCTGCTGCTCAGCTGGAACAACATCACGGACATCGACTACGAAACCTTCCTGGCGCTGCCCAATCTGCAGCATCTGGATCTATCGCACAATCGCCTGAGCGGCTCAGCCATACGCGCTCTCCAGGGCATACCCGATCTGGTTAGCCTATCGATTGCCCACAATCCGCAGGTGGGCGCCGCCATGCAGGAGTTCGTCGCCTCCTGGAGCCTCAAGGAGCTGGACGCCAGCGGCACGGGCCTCTGCCAGGTGCCCGCCGCCCTGGCCCAATCCGTGCGCACGCTCAAGCTGTCGCACAACTGGCTGCAGGTAAGCGACGTGTGAACGTAATCAATGAATTAGTGAAACCATCAGGCACAGCCTCCTGTCTTCTCCTCTTTATTTCTCTCTCCCTCAACCTATCTCCCTCCCTCTCTCGGTGTGTGTGCACGCAATGAACCGCAATTTTTACGCTTTTGTCGGCAATTAACGGCACATTCGCAGCAGCAACCAACCAACCCACACACACACACACACACACAGACGCACACAGGCACAGTTTTTCTTTAGCCGCGTCTGAGTTGCCCCTCTGCTGCCATTAATTAGCATCTGTTTTGCGGTCCTTGCCGACTCAGCTCGACTCGGCGCTCGAGTGGGCCTCTGGCTCGACTCCGATTACCCACGCACGCAGCTATCCACCCGGGCATATGATTTACACTTTGTTATTTTTAAATTTACGCCGCCATTTTGTTGTTGCCACTCGACTCGCACATCCGGCTCACACTCCGGCTCCGGCTCTGGCTCCGGCTCCCCGTTCCGGCAACGGGCCAATGTGCCTCGCATTCCATTTTGTCGCCGAGCTCTAAAATTATTTTCCAGCGCAGAAAAGGAAATTTTACACATAAATATTATTGATTAGAATGTGGAAGTATTTGGCCATATTTTATGCTGTAATTGATATGTCAGCCATATCTTGAAGTCAAATGATAAGAAATGACGCACTTAGCCCTTGGCTGCAATCCCATGGAGTTTATTTATCAATAAATTTTATTAGAAGTCTTTTACGCCTTCTGCTCAAAGGGGAGACTTCATTATATTGTATAAGAGTTTTTTTGTGTAAAAAATATATTTTGTTTCTGTTATGTAAAATAATTTGCTTTATGTGTAATTAGATTATTTCATATAAAATATATTTATTAAATTTTATA